GGAACGCGTGGAAGACGCCAGACCCGGTTCATATCGCGAAGCTGCTGAGGGACACGCCGGCGGACTTGGCGAAGCACCTAGATGATGTCATCCACCCGGTTGCCAAGTCTCTCGCTTCTTTGTACGCCAAGTTGAGGACCATCTCCAGCTCGCATGAGACGTGCGCCATGGCTCTCTCGCATGAGACTTGCGCCATGAAGATCTTGGGCGTCGACTGCGACGCGACGGCGACAACGGCGACGGAGACCTTCGGGGCGCCCGCGGGGGCGACGACGGCGACGGCGACGATGGTGCTCGAAGGGCGTTCGTTTTCTGTTTATTTCTGGGGTGGCTCCAGGGGCTTCCAGCAGGGAGCGCGGGGCGCGACGAGGGCCCCTGTGGTCCGCATTTCGCAGACAAGCGTGGCACCGAAAAACGGGGGAAAAACAAATCGGAAAAACACGGAACGGTCGAACACTTTTCGAAACTTGTCTTCGCCGCCGCCGCCGTCGTCGTCCGCGATGCGCCGGTCGCACACGGGGCGGGCTCCGAGGAGGGCAAGGCCGGGAAGGTGTTGGCGCCTTTTGGCAGATGTCCCCCAGGATTCCCAGCAGCGCCCAGTTGGCCTTGGACGCCTTGGGCGTGGCCAGGAAGATCCAGGAGGCGAAGAAGGCCCAGGAGGCTCTGGAGGAGAAGCAGCGTTTGGAGGAGGAGGCGCGGAAGACCCAGGAGGACAGTAGGGCCCAGGAGGCGAAGCAGGCCGAGGAGAAGGACGGAAAGAGCGGCACGAAGGTCAGCGTGGACGGCGCGCAGGCCGAGCAGGAGGACAAGGGCGGCAAGGACGGCGCGACGGAGACCAAGGACGCGCAGGAGAAGAGCGACAAGGACGACGCTCAGACCAACCAGGGCGGCGCGCAGGACAACAAGGGCGACGAGGACGGCCAGGAGGAGAACAAGGGCGGCGCGCAAGACGGCAAGGAGGCCAAGGCTTTCCAGAAGGCACACATTGGCGGGCCCCCTTTCAAGGTCGGCGACATGGCCATACGCACGTCCAAAAAAATCCGGACCTGTGGTGCCAAAACAATCATGCTCTGATCCCGCGGCCCATGTTTGCGGCTACGTTGCCGCCGTTGCTCCCCCCGTCGCCGCTACGTCGCTTCATAGATTTCACGGCATGCATTGCTCCGCATAGATTGCACCACGTACTGAACACCACAGAGATTGTACCACATACATTGCGCAATGCAACAAAATGTTTGGGGCCCAGGCGTGCTAATATTTACGTGTCTTACACGGTGCAACGAAACAGCGTGCTTGCACATATTGTTTTGCGCACTGGCACGGAAATCGAAGATGCTGGGTGAAACGCGGGGGGGGGGGGGGGCAAAGAGGGAGGCCCCGCGAGAGAATCCCACGACGCAGAAACGCTGCCAGTGCAGTGGGATTGTGCTGCCAGCGACCAAAACACTGGAGCCGCCCGCGGCAAGCGGGCCAGCCAGGACGGCGGGGCTCGACCGCAATGCGCTGGGCGGAGCTGGACTGCCAAGACCGACTGGGTTGGCAGGGCTGGGATGCGCGGGGATGCGTCGAGCTGGACTCAAGAACAAGGCATCGAGGCCAAAACTAACCGAACGAGTTGAAGCTAATAGGTCTGAATTAGCACCAGAGCGCAACGCTTATGAGTAAGATATCTCTCAGGCCGATGACACCTAATAAAGTACACCCTGCGAAATGCTTAAGAAATCATGGGTTAAGAAATTCATAGTCTCAGATCTTGAATATAAACCCAACATTTCTATTACAAACTTAGGATTTAGATTGAAACGTTAAGAATAATCGAGACTCTGGCCCAAAACTTAAGTTTTCTTAAGCATCGCCTAAGGTGTAGGTCGGAACGTCATAGGACCAGCTGCCCGTCTTGGCTCCTCCCGCGTGTGGCCCGACCGCGCGGCGGCCTCGGAGAAGCCCGACAGACCTGGCCGCCCGGCCCGTCACCGCCCCGGAGGCCCCCAGTCGCCCAGAGGACGTCCTCGGAGGACGACGCGAGTCCCCAGGCCGTGCGGTGACCCCGAAGCCAGCGGAGCCCAGAATCGAACCCGCTTACCCCTTGGGGTCACGGCGTGTGAGATGCTTCCCCCTCCCCGAACCCCTCCCCCCGGGGCCTGGTCCGGCCAGTTTGGAGGGGGGGGGAGCCCAGGATCGAACCGATGAGTCGGATCGGCGATCGAAAGAAGTCGAATCGGCGGAAATCGGCAGCCGAGCAGGGAAAAGTCGAATCGGCGGAAATCGGCAGCCGAGTCGGGAAAAGTCGAATCGGCGGAAATCGGCAGGCTAGTGTGCGTCGAATAAGACATCGGAGCCCAAATAAGAACCCGAAATCGAATCGAATCGGAATCGGAATCCATCGAAGTGGCTGAGTGAAGGCTGCCGCGCGGGGGCTTTGAGGGGGCCATGTCGTCGCAGTGCGGCCATGTCGGCGTGCAGGCGAGGAGGAGGAGGAGGAGGAGGGGGATGAGGAGGAGGAGGAGGAGGAGGAGGAGGAGGAGGGAGGAGGAGGAGGAGGAGGAGGGGAGGAGAGGGAGAGGAGAGGAGGAGGAGGAGGAGGAGGAGGAGGAGGAAGGAGGAGGAGGAGGAGGAGAGAGAGGAGGAGAGGAGGAGGAGGAGGAGGAGGAGGAGGAGGAGGGGGAGGAGGAGGAATCGAAACGACGAGCCCTGCGAATCCGCACGAACTCACCACCCCGGCCCTCCTCCGAAGGTCTGGTTTCCGGGCCGTACCCCGGGACTCGCGGCCGTCCGGCATCCGGACGCCTCTGGAAAGCTCTCGGGGAGGCGCAGCTGCTGGAGCGCACTCCGAGGCAGGAAACAGAAAAAACAGGAACCGGCGAAGACGCCCGAAAAGCCCGAATCCCCACTGGAAAGCTTGTGGCGAGGCGCAGCTGCTGGAACGCACTCCGAGGCAGGAAGAGGAAACAAAAAAAAACACGAAGACGCCCGAGAGCCCCGACCACGGACTCACCACGCAGCGTGGTCACCACACCGTGCGGGGGCCCCAAAATTCGCGAACGACGCGACGGGGTGGCGTAGACGGATCTACCCTGTCTCCGACCTTGTACTAGAGGGCAGAAAATCCACCCCCACAAGAAAGCACCCCGACAAGCGAAGCCGTTCAGTAAGTGCACCCAAGGGTGGGATCGAACAAGGCAGGGCTGTTTAGTAAACGCCCAGGGCCGACTGGTAAACGCCAATTGTCGGGGTCTGGGCGGTTGTCCTCCCTTGATGTACTGCGCCGAACGTGACGGCCACGTTTTCCAGAAACGCATCCAACCCAAATGTGGCCATAGACGTAGCGACACCTCACGTGTCGATGGACGCCCGTGGCCGGAGAGCGAGAACGGCATTTGGCACGGGCCCGAGATACAGTCAAGGCGTGGGAGTTAACGATGCACGACAAGGGTGCACTTTTCGAGCTTCGGTCAGGAGAAGCATCTGTTGGATGCTGATAGCTCATGTTCAATCAGGCCTGGAGGGGGCGGCGTTGACTTGCTCATCTGGGGGGTCGGGCATTTGCCTCATGGTCTGGCATGTGCCATCTCTTCGCGGAATGATCCCTCACCCCGCTCCCGCCTGGGGACCGACGTCCTGGTGCCCCCAGCGGGCGGTGGATATGGATATATTTCAGCCCCTGGGGGCCCGAACATGACCATATCCACGATCCACCGCCTGCCGAGGCTCCGAAAACTGACCCTCCAGGCGGTGGTCGTGCATAAATCCCCGCCTCGGACGTGCCGACACTTTTCGAGCAGGGCGCGGCCCGCGAAGGTGGCCGAGGACGGGCCGACGGGGGCAGCGGCGAGGGCACCCCTGCAGAGATGCCCGTCCTTGCTGTGCGCTTCGACCGCAGTTGGTCTCCTCGAAGCGGGCACCCGTCGCCCTCCGCGCACGAAGCCCCAGGACGACGCTGGAGGCCATGGAGGAAGACGCAACGCCGCGAACATAACTTTTGGCGCTCCGCGCGGATCTCTTGGCTCAGCACTGGGCCCCCCTCCCTGGCGCGCGGAGCGCGCCAGGGGCGGCGCCGGAAGCGCTGCCAGGGGGGTTCAGCGCGGATCCAAGAAATCCGTGCGGAGCGCCAAAAGTTATGCTTACACCTATATTCATTCCTCGAAGAAAGAAAGGGTAAGCCACGATCCCTACGTAGAGCTAGCGAGGTGCGGATGCCGCCCCAACCGATAGGACGATGATCCCAGTTCAGCACGCTGGATCGAGCTTCTCGTATACACAGGAAGCTCGCCGAATACACTGGATCCAGTCTTATGTGTAGCGGGCCTGGGGAGCAAGGTAGACGCTGACCTTCGGCATCCTCGTCCTCCCCGACCCCCCCATCTCCTTCCCATCCTCAGAACATCCTCATGCACTGCAAAGCCCCCTCTTGAGGGCAAACAGGTCAAAAAGCACTCACGAATTAGGTTGTGCACAGTTCCCGAAACAACGACATCCAGGTTGAAAGCAATCAACTGCGCAGTGGGGGGCTTCCCGCGCGGCCTCACGCATGACAGACGAGGCGGGATGTTCCTGCGTGCGATGCTCGTGGGGCCATGGGGCCATACCGAACCCCCCGAGGTCATGATTTGACCATGGCCTCGACACCAGAGGTCTCGACCCGTTCCCCAGGACCGTTTCTGCACCCCGAGTGGTTTCCTGAAGACCCCGAGGGCCGGTAAGGTCCCCCAGGGGAGAGAAAAAAAGGGGGGTGGGGGGAAAAAAAAACAAAAAACAAAAAAAAAAAAAACTCATGGCTCGAGGGGGTCTGGGTATAGTCGGACTTCATTGGACAGGACACGCGAGAGGACACAAGACCCTTCCGAGGGCCACATCGCCATAGGAATGCAAGAAGGCATGGGTCGCGAGACACAGGACACAAGGGTACCCTTGATTTGGCAGGGTCGACCTACTAATCCGGGCCGACTGTATGGGGCGGCGGATGAGGACGGCGCAGCCTGCAGACGCCGAAGGGCGCTGGCTCGCAGCAGGCAGCAGGCACCAGCGTCCGAGGCGAGGCCCACTCTTCGAGGCGCCGCCGTCGCCGGCGCCCCGCTCGTCCGGCGGAGGGACCGCCGCTGCCCCCAGAGCCCGAGGCCCTGCCGAGCTCAGGCGCAGCCCCGGCGCACCGACTGGCCCGCGTCCGCGAGGCGGCTGGATCAGTCCTGCTAGACGAGCTCAGCATCGACGGGAAGGATCAGAAGAGAAAGAGAGAGAGAGAGGGAGACACACACACACAGACACACACACACACACACACACGCACGAACGCACGCACGCACGCACGCACACACACACACACACACGCACGAACGCACGCACGCACGCACGCACACACACACACAGACGAACGCACAGCTATATCATGTCTACGTATACAGAGTTATGCGTATACATATATATAGGTAGACATACATACATACGTAAATAAATATCGATATATATATATATATATATATATATACACACGTGCGTGCGTACATACACACGTACATACATGCATACATACATGGTTGCATACTAACATACATGCATACGTACCTACATACATGCATGCATGCATGCATGCATGCATGCATACATGTATACGTGCATACATGCATGCGTACGTATGGTCATGCGTGTTGATATGCATAAATAAATACATACCTACATGCATACATGCAAAAATACATACAGTCATGCCTACATACGTATCAACAAATGTTCGCACGTATACATACATGCATACATGTATGCATACAGACACGCATACATACATACATGCATACATACACGCATACATACATACATACATACATACATACATACATACATACAGACAGACAGACATACATGCATACATACATACATAAATGCATGCATATAAACATACATACATGCATGCATGCATGCATGCATGTATGCATACGTATATGCACACATGCATGCATGCGTACAACCATCCATATATGCATACATGTACATATGCATACATACACGCATGCATGCATGCATATTTGTACACGTACATACATACATGCATGCATGCATACATGCACGCATGCATGCATACATGCATACACGCATGTACATGGGTGCACAAACATACCTGCATAAAGACATATATACATACACAAACATACATACAGACATACACCCATACATACATACATACATACATACATACATACATACATACATACATACATGCATGCATGCATGCATGCATGCATGCATGCATGCATGCGTACACATATACATACCTGCATGCACGCATGCACGCATGCATGCGTACATACACACATACGTACATACCTACGTACATACATGCATGCATGCATATGCAGTCGAGCCATCGAGCACGCTACGCGCGCGCGAAGGATCTAGCGCAGTCCAGGGCTGCGCCAGCAAGGTCTGGACAGGCTGCACAAGCGCGTGCCATAAATGAGTTCATCCTCATACTCACGATCAGTCCTAGCGTCTCCGTCCCTCCCATCCTCCCTCACTCACTCCCTACCTCCCGTCTCCTTCTCCTCATCCTGCTTATCCTGCTCCTCTTGCTCCTCCTGCTCCTTATCCTCCTCCTCCTCATCCTCCTCCTCCTCCTCCTCCTCCTCCTCCTCCTCCTCATCATCATCATCATCATCATCATCATCATCAGCATCATCATCATCATCATCATCAT